AAACTGCATATCCTCGATTCATTTAAAAAAAAAAAGAGAGAGAGAAAGCAAAACAAAAGTACCGGTAGAAATAACTTCCCATGCATTGGGATTGAGATTTCGAACTTCACTGAACATGCTGAAGTTTTTGACAAATTTCAAAATACCGGACCCATTTAAGTGTTGAAAGTATGACTTCATAAATAATAAGTCCTGTTGATTTAGGATGCAAATGATATACAGTATAGTTTTTGTGGCATGGAAATTGCATTAAATTGTTGTTTGTAATTTTGTTCAAGTAAGTTGTTGCTATGTTTTAACCACCATGTTGCCATGCACAGCAAAGGATTATTGGGAGTTTGGAATTTTTTTACGTGGGCTGATAAAAATTTCTTGGAACATGTTCAGATTCAACCCAAATTTCCTCCATTCATACACGTTGCCTTTGGAGCTCGCTATGCAAGTGGGCACTTCGTGTCACCTTGCTACACTCACTATTAAATGGAAAAAATGTTAATAAAAATTAAAACTAAAAGTTTTAAGGGAATATCTGTTGTCTGATAGAAACACTGTTTTATCATGTTCATTTTATTAACTGCTAAGATGATTGTTATAATATAACTTGTTTTATTGTGCATGATTTCAATTTTCAATTCTTTATGCTAATCCATTGATTGGTTTAAAAGTTGTTTTCTTTAAAAAACAAATCCTCCCCCCCCCTCCCCCCCAAAAAAATAAATCCAAGAGATTCCAACCTCCTACAATAATTTTTTTTTTTTGATAATTGCATGCTTAATTATTAATAAATTAGTTGTATTAAATTTTGGGTCAAATTTCCAAAGAGCTGAAAATTTTCAACCTTTTAGTTTGTAATGTCTTGTAGAATTTTTTTCAACTGTTGCTGTAGAAATGCAAGAATCGACAAAAGAACAGTTTCAAATGGTAAGTAAAATTCACAGATAAAATCATTGTGAGGAAATTTTCTCTCATTCCAAATTGAAGTAAATTGATAAACTGTTGTCAGGAAATTTTCTCTCATTTAAAATATAAGTATAAATTTTAAAACAAGAGGTTTATATTCCTTATAGGTCACCTGAGCATCATGTAATAACTTTCCAACAATTGAATTTGATTCATGTTTTGAACAAGAGGTCATGGCATTCACAATTTTGAAAGAGGCAGTAATGCTCATCATAAGACCGCAGAACATTAACTGGCAAAATTGGAAATATACAGCTTACATCATTTCTATCTGTTACAATTAAAACATTCAGTGATAGACAATGAAATGGGCGGGTACAATTCGACGCGGATGTGGGGAAAACATCGGATTGAAATTGCAGATAGAAATTCATTTTCAATCCACCTCAGCTACGCTAGAAGGCACATTATTACTGATTGACCCAGAAGACAAATAATTTCAATTTTGGTACAGTTTGAATTTCTTTTGTCAAGTGTTTTAAATAAATTAATAATTAAGGGACAAATATTTCATTTCTGTTTGGTAAATATATGTATATCTTTGTGTTGGGGGGGGGGGCTGAACATTTTTTAAATAATTTAAAGTTGTCCAACAATTTTCAGTGAGAATAAGTATAAAACTCATGCTCTCTTATAATCCTAGAAATAAAATATATTGTCACGTTAATATGACTCGACAATTTTTACCCCCCCCCTTCTAGAATCAAATATCTCCTGAAAAATAATCTTTGTCTTCTATGATCTTTCGTGTTCTTAAAATTAAAAGCTAAAACTCATATTAATGTGAACTTCAAACAATATGTATTTGGGATTTGAAATTAGTTGATTTTTGGATCATACATTCACTCTTTGCTTTGAAAACAGCTCAGGTGGATTGAAAATGAATTTCGATCTGCAATTTCAATCCGATGTTTTCCCCACATCCGCGTCGAATTGTACCCGCCCATTTCATTGTCTATCACTGAATGTTTTGATTGCAACAGATAGAAATGACATAAGCTGTATATTTCCAATTTTGCCAGTTAATGTTCCACGGTCTTAACTAATACACTTAGCATGTTTAATTTGGTTACTTAATACCCACTGGCAGAGTAGGGACCCCCCCCCCCCTCCAAAAAAAAAATGCATTACAACAAATTAGTAATAATCAGCAATAATCAGTAGTGCCACCACCCCACAGGGACCCTGACCCTGGGGCCACACATTTTTAAATTTTGGAAAAGGCACTTAGACCCTTGCTCAGTTTTAGTATACAGTGTATAATCATTAGAGGCTCCCTTGGGTACCCCTGAATTACGTAATTACATTTCAGCATTTTTGCAACCACAAAAATAAATCCCCATTTATCAATATTTTCCTCAAACGGCAGCTTGCACTGAGAAAGATTCTGGTTTGTTATGGTCTGCTGGGGTAATAATGTATTGTAAAGCGCTATGAGTAGCATTTATGCTACAAAGGCGCTATCATAAAGAAAAATTGCTCAACAAAAATACAGTGTATGTGATTTTACATTTGATTGGAGATTTGTAAAAAAAAATTTCTGTATTTATTTTGTGTCAAGATGTTGTGCGACCGAAGAAACGAAGATTTCTCAAGTTTCTGGGTCTGACCTTAGGAGCTAGTACCACAACAGGGATAGTGTTATATTACCTAGCTAAAAAAAATTATGAACAACGAACAAAAGAGGGCAGCAACACAACAAATACGGTATGATCAAGTAGTCTATATTAGTACATGTACTTTGCTTGTTTAATTATTTTTCTAGTGACTAAAGATCATGTTATGCTGATGAAAGTGTCACTCCACATGGACAAAGTCACATTGTGTTGCACATGGTGTAAAATAGAAAATAACCTTGATAACCAATTATTTCCATCATCACTTTTTACTGATGCATGTACATGTACTCCTTAATTGATCAATCATGAGATACAGTATATTTGAATTGAAAAAAAAATAATAATAAAAATTTTAAAAAGATTAAAAAAGATGGAAATATTCTATTGACAAAAACTGTTTATCTATTATTTTTGTGCAGATAAAACAGTAAAAATCTTCCATTCGACCTAAAGCTGCACAGTAACCTTGACTTGGCCTGAAATTTTAAGCCCAACATTGAAATGAAATCATGTGATTCAGACTTCAAATACGTATATGTCTAAGGATCATACTAGAATATTTATTGTACTGTTTTTTTTTTAACCAGATACACACAAGGGTCAAAAGTACTGGTATTTCAGTATTGCTTAATTTACTATAGAATATTAACTACAAACTTCACATTAAAATTTAATGTTCAGTAAGATAAAGTGGGTAAAATTGTGGTTTTCCTAAATCTTGAATAAATTTTTTTAATATCTTGTGAAAAATTCGTAATGATAACAACAACAGTAAAAATTTTGTGAAATTAGAAAAAAAAATGTTTGTATTGAACTCTATAAGTGAAAATACTTTTAATTCTGAGCATGTCAAATTTGAGCAATAACCCAGTGAATATAATCTGAAGTGTTTTGTTTGTAGTTTGCTTGTCACAATAGCTTCTTTATATAATATTAAGGTTTTATTTGATTTTTCAAAGAGTCTATCAACAAATTTTAAAAATATTAGATTTAAAAAAAAAACTATTTTTTTTAATAATACAGAACTCACACAAGTATCCATTAAAGTTTTTTTTATTATTATATAAAGTAAAAAGTCTTTATTGAATTATAAAAACATACATATATAATAATAAGAAATCATAAGAAAAAAAACTTTCCTGGGAAAGTAAAGAAAATAATTTTTTTAAGCAACATTATGGTACACATGTACTTTTTAATGTTTTATTTAAAAAAAAAATAATTCTATCAAAAATGTTTTCCCTAAAAAAATCAGTCTCAAACATTTAAAAGTAATATATATGAACATGTATAAAAGTATACCTTGTTCAAATGAAGAAGAAAGTAAAAAACAAAATTGTAAATAAGAAGCAAAAATAAACAAATAAAAATTATTTACCCTACCATGTATAAGTAGGCATCTTTAAAGCAGAAATATATTTCATAAAAAAAAAATAAATAGTTCTTAAAAACATACATGAAAAATTTCTTTTTAAAATCGTACAAAAAAATTTACAATTTTATGAGTTTTGTTAAAATATATTATATGTCATTGTATGACAATTTTTATGCGTTTTGTTACAATAAGAACTTGTATGTCATTATATGGTTTGATTGGTCAATTCAAGGACACGGTGGTATGTGTAGTTTTACATAAGTCTGGGTGATCTTCCCCTGTACTCCGCTCCATTGATAAGATAGCTAGCAGCGGAAAATTATTGTCATGTCCTGGACGGATGGTTCAGCTTACTCAGCAGATAGCCTTTGGAATGAATTGGAATTCCATCAGAATCTGTAATTATTTATAGATTTTGGTGACTAATGACCCCATGTAATATGCAAAATAAGTATTATTGCGTGTTTGAATTTTTAGCAGGTAGTAATTATTATAAAACTCTACATATTTTCTTTTAAAAATATTCTTATTATGGACTAAAAACAATAAAGCATTTTTAAAACTATTAAACAGTTGATGAGATAGCTGATATTGAGAAATGTCACCTTTCCAACCCCACCCTACCCCCTTTTCTTAAAAAAAAAACAATCACATACACACGCACAAGCGAGCGCGAACACATGACGACGCAATAAAATCGAAAATAAACTTAATCTGTTTACATTTAAAAATTAGAGGATACATATAAACTTTTTACAGATAAATTACATATAGGTGCCTAATCTATAACGTCATGTTTTTACTAAATTATGGAGGATTTCATTGTTTCGTGGGATTGTGTACAATACCTGTGAACCATGCAGTAAAATGAGTGTGAAGTTGATACATAGGTTATACTTATAGAAAGGGTAACGTAACTGGAACATGACGCGTGTGATAACACCGTGAGATATCTATAAATGGGTTGTGAACTTTATACACATATCCCCCTCATATATAAATCTCGGATTGTAGCATGCATGTTCACTTTGAGTCCCTTCCCGCCGGGGAAAACGTCGGGTTTTCATATTTATAAAAGAATCTTAGTTAATTTTTGCTCAATGTTTCATCGGAGAAGATATGCGACACACGTTGGAGACTTTTGGATAAATTACCCAACTGAACTTAAGATTTTTGAGTTAATATAAAGAGACTTTTCTTAGTTTTTTTTTTTACTTCTCGAGTTGATTTGTATCAAATCAGGAAATAAACTTTGCTAATAGTCACGCGATAAAGGGAAAACAGCAATATGATTAACGTTTTGTTTTCACTACCACTTGCTACAGTGGACTTTGATCAAAGTGTACTGTTCAGTACAATCATTTTAGCAGTGCTTTTGACTGGTAAAAATAGATCAGAGAAATTTTTCTTCAAGTTATGGGAAATGATACGATGGAAGACATGGTCCAAAATGGCCACAGTTAATCACCACAAAATCATGTTCGATGGTCTTCGTTGGGGAGTTTCTTTAAGACATATGAAGAAACTTCTTTCGATTCACAAAATAGTGCGTCGCAAAAGATCCAGTGTTCACAAGAAACGAGGACATAAAAATGTGAATCGCACGGTAAGAAGCGCATTGTTTAAATTAATGTTGCAACTTAAAATTCAAATTATCTACTAACGTTCGATAAATAATGACATCGCATCAAATTTGGACGGAAATATTTTGATTTTCTACACAGGTTGTAAGTGCGGGCTCCGAACCCTAGGGGGCTTTGAGACTCGCATCTAAACGGCTATTCCAAGCGGGAAGGTGACCCATAGTGGCCCTAAAATGTTTAAAAATGTTTACCCTTTTAATCTCTATTTAAAATGGTTAATGCATATTTCTTGCAGAATATTTTTATAAGCTTAATTTTTGCGTTGAACACCAATGGAAAAGATAAACTTAAAAAAAAAATAGTAGAGAGCAAAACTGATATAAATGTTAAAAACTTTTTCTTCCTTTTTAAAAACATTTTTTTCGTGCTTTTATTTTGGTTTTGCTTTCTATCTAAGTAATCTAACTCTTACTAGTAAATAGTTTTGAAAATCTTACCTTTCTAAATCATTTAATTATCATACAATTCTGCATTGCATTGTGTCTTTCTTGACGTGTACCACACCTTATTTTACAGATTGAAATGTACCGTATCATGCCACTCAAGGCGATGTCCCGAGCCTGGGGGAAATTTAATCAGCTCGAGTTACCGGTTGTTCTCCGAAGACCGCTATTAGGACTGTACGTCTGGATGTTCGACTGCAAGCTGGACGAAGCCATGGAAACTGAACTGAGAAACTACCGAAATCTTGGCGAATTCTTCAGACGAATTCTAAAACCAGACATGCGACTGATCTCAATAAAAGAGGAACTGGTAAATTTCTGGTTTCTATTGCAATTTCTATGCCAGGAAATATCTTCCATTTTGCCAGTTTTCTTTTCTTTTGAGTGTATTTGAAGAAAGAATATTTGCCGAAATAGTATGCTAAGGTAAAAAAGAACGTCAGTGACGAATTAAAAAAGATCATGCGGTACATGTAAACTGATTTTGTTCTTCAATATTTTTTGTCAGACAAATCCCGCAGATGGAAAGATCCTTCACTTTGGAGAAGTTAAAGATGGAATTCTAGAGCAAGTTAAAGGAGTGAATTACTCCGTCAAACATTTCTTGGGACCACAGACCTGGTTGACCGACTCCGACGCCCCCGTGACATCGGCGAACGTGACGGACGAAGAGTACTTCCGGGGATTGAAATTGAGGCCCGGAAATAAGCTTTACCATTGTGTTGTGTACCTGGCTCCTGGCGACTACCATAGATTTCATTCCGCAGCCAAGTGGGACATTTCCTACAGACGACATTTTCCTGGTAGGCACTTTCTTTATTTACACCAATATATTATAAGAAAGTTTTATCAAGGATAAAATGTACAGATGTAGATAAAAGGTCTAATCAGAACTGTAAAAATGAATGAGAATAAAATCCATATTTTAATTCCGTATGATTATATAATCCAACCAATTTAAATTATGTTTCATCACTTTATTCAAGGAGAACTACTGAGTGTAAACCCAGGTATCGCTCGCTGGATCCACGGTCTCTTTGTCCTCAATGAACGAGTTGTATACATGGGAGAATGGGAACATGGATTCTTCTCTTATACTGCAGTAGGTGCCACGAATGTCGGATCCATCAAGATTTACTGTGATCAGGTACGTCACAAAAGTTCAAGTTTCTGTACTTTTTTTGCTGTAGTTTGTTTTATCTTGTCATTTTTAGAAGTTAGTTGATGTAGATGCTGCAAATAAAATGGTTAAGTTTATGTTGTATCATTTATGATGTAGCTAAGCAGCTGCTAGCACAAATTATGAATGATATTATTTGATATACAAAGTTCAAGATTAACAAATATGGTGAATAGTTGTATGAAATTTCATCATCCTTTAATTTAAAAGCTTTATGTTAACTTGTTCATCATGTATATTTTTCCAGGAAATGATGACGAACGTAAAACATCATCCGGACACACGCCGTTCTCCTGGTGTATACTTCGACAAAGACTTCCGGCAAAATCCGATCCACGTGGAAAAGGGTGAAATGTTCGGCGAGTTTAATCTGGGATCCACCATTGTGCTGGTATTTGAAGCACCGGAAAACTTTGTCTTCAACGTCGTCAACGATCAGAAAGTGCGCATGGGCGAACCGATGGGCGAGTGTATACCATAAACTTCATTGTGCCTTACCGGAAGTAGAGAACGCAATATCTGTGATACTTTGCCATGAGCTGCTCAGTTTTGTTTCATATTAGAAATGTTTCATTAAAAATGAAGTAATTAGTTTGTTTTCTGTGAAAATGATAAATATTTGATCGATGCGATTTGATAACAATAAATTGCGCAGATCATGATATACATGTTTGTTTCATTGAGAACAATCCTAGCAGAGAAATGAAAATCTTTTTTTGAGTGTGAAATATTCCAATTCCATGGTTCATGAACAGTTTCCTTTTATCCATCTCGAAGCTCAATTAGATTGAAGTTGGAGATGGGAAGAGTGCTAGTTTTCACGGAGCATAGAATCTGTTTTTTATGTGCATTTAATTCATAATAAGTTTTAAATTTTTGTGCCTGACCAAAATAATTTCGGTCTCTGTTGTATCATTCAGTAGGAAAAAATAGAAGTCCATATGGAAAAAATGTCAAAGAACAAAAAAAAAATTAACTCTACCCCTCCTCCCCTAAAACAGGCGCAAACACACACACACCCTCTCGTTCACTCACACACACACACACACAACAAAGAAAAATAAAAATAATAATTACAACAATTTCTTGTTTGTTTTTTTTTTAAATGTAAGTGAGCTTGTTTCCTTTGACATGTTTTCTCCGGATGTGCGCCCTCGGAGAGAGCCATTTTTTTGGTCGGACTGATATGGAAGGCCGTGACTTCCACGGTCACCACTTCACTAACTTCTACGTCACCACCACCGTACAGTCCAGACGGAACTTCAGAATCATCATGGAAGCGTTCACACTTTATTTTTTGTCTATGGAAATTGTCATCCTTACACACCGTCAAATAACGAATCAGAATCATTTTGCCCATGGTAAGCCCAATGTCTTTCATTTAAACACTGGCTATCAACAGAGAAAAACATTAAGGTTTCGTCAAAGGTCAACATGTCCAAAAATTTTTTTTTTATTAATAACTCCAAAACTATGTGAGGTATAAAGTTAAAACTTTTACAGTTTATAAATTTTTCATTGATTAACAGATAGAAAGTATCACTTGATAAAAAATACTTGGAAAAAATATTTAAATTGAGAAAAAATCTTTTTAAAAATGCATATTTTTTCAGGAAATGCTCCTAATTAATTTCGTGCTTTTAGTGAAAACCATCACTGCAGAAACAAAATATGTTTATCAATGAAGGGCAAGTTGGACTTGGATAGCCTCTGGAAAGTTGTTTTCCCTGTTTTTGTCCAAATGTTAAGACTTGAAAGCGAAAGTATATTGCAAATGGCGGGTTCTACAGGGGTCTAGTCTTTATTCATGTCATGCTTTCAATAACAGCCTTTCAGACACCATTCACGTCCAACTTGCCCTTCAATGATAAACATAATTTATATTATTTCTGCAATTACAGTTTTTACAAAAAGAACAGAATTAAGCAGGTGCATTTCTCTTTAAATATGCACATTTTCTGACAAAATTTTTCTAAGAAAATATCTTTTTCAAAATATTTGTTATCAAGTGATACTTTCTATCCATGAATCAATGATATGTTTATAAACTGTAAACATTTTGCCTTTATACCACACCTAGTTTTGGAGCTATAGTAAAAATGATTTTTTACACATGTTGACCTTTGACGAAACCTTAAAGTAATTTTATAAGTTTATATTGACGCATATATTGACCGATACTGAATCAGAAGACAAACTGAAGAATCTTTTTTTGCGTTATTTCAGGATATGCTTTTGAAATCATCATATCAGCCTTTGGCGTAGGTATCGTAATGCAGATGGTTTTGTTATTAAAAGACTTTCCAACAGGAGTTATATATGAATGCATGAACGAATGGCACAAACTTCAACTCTTTTTGCATTTTGGAGGGTGTAAGTATACATAAAATTCACCAGAATATTCTAATGTAAATCCGGTTGAAAAAAAAATACATGTATATATGATATATATAATGCTGCAATATACTAGTGATGGACCACGGAATGTACAAAGAATAAACTACCACTTTGCTAGTAGAAATAAAGAAAATTGAGATACAATATCCCCGTTCTTCCTTCATATTCAAGCATGTTCCACTTGCCATTTCGTTTCTTTAAGAACTAATTTATTTAACGAGGCCCAATCTACTTGATCTGCGCATACGTTTTAACGCAGCGTCGATTCAAGCACGTCACAATACCCTTGACTGCCGTCACAATTGAACACAATGACGTCACAATCAAAATGACGTCAAATTGCGCTAAAATGTATCGCTGATCTTGCTTACCTGGTAGTGCTATAGACTATGCATTGAAAGCTGGCATTTATATTATTTTTTTAATATTTAAACTAATAAACAACTTTGGAACCTAATTAACTTGAGGGATCAATTTTTTGGTACAGATTCATTAATTGTATCCAGTTTTATTTCAATTTGTGAGTGTTAAAAAAACAAACACTGCATCTAAAAGTAAATGATTTTAGTCATTCTCTTCGAACATGTTGAAGTGTTTATACACACTCTTTTTATTGCCAACTTAAATGTGCATGGATTATCTTCAGTTTTAGAAAATAGAATAAGTCTATAAATCATTTAAATTGAACCCTCGAAATATTTTATTTTTCTATATATTACATGATATTAGAAAAAATCGCAATTTTGACGCCTTTACCCCCCCCCCCCCCCTCTTCCCTCTACCCCTTTTTTCCACGTAAAACAACGTCGCGTGTTAAGAGGAAAATAAAGCATGGCGAGAAAATTATTTCATAATGTAAAAATAAATTATTTTTAGAAACTAATACAGTATTGCAATCGTTTGTTTGTGTTATGTAAACCCATTGCGACCTATAAAATACGTAGTTGAATAGAATAAATGCAAATTTTGTGTTTTGACATGCCCCCTTTTCACTGCAATCAAGGCTACCTCCAATTTTCTTTTCATTTTTTATAAGAAGAATGAAAATTACATGATATATGTGAAAAAGAAAGAATTTCATCATGTATTTTTTTTTATTTGTAAATTTCTTTGTTTATTGAAGAGTTTTAGTATGTAATTGTGTATAAAAACACGAAAAATGGTCCATATCTTGAAAGTGTCCCCATTTCACTACAATAAAGGCAATGTAACAAAATTCCATTCTAATTTTTCTAAACATAAAACAAACAAGTATATTTCCAAGAATTAAAATTTTTTATCATTCCGTTTTCGTAATTTTCAACTAGATTGGGCCTCGTTAAAAGAAGTTTGCCCTAAAATATATAATATTAGTGTACATATATGTATATTTACAGATTTAAAATAATTTCAAAAAAATATTTCTCAGTTTTTTCAACATCAATGGGCATTATCGCTATGGCAGTTTCAGAAACTACTGTTGAAGAACACGAATTTACTGTCACAGTGGCTGCTTTAGTGACGTCAATAATTAACGCAACTTGGTACACCATTTCCAAAATCTACGAAAAAGCAGTAACTTTATCTGTTCCCGCTATAACCGTAACCGACACGGGTAAAGAAGAGACTACAGTGCTGGAGGGGCCATTCAGCGTCAGAGCGTGGCTACAGACTCCGAGGCACAGACGACAAGACGACCATTTCCTGGTGGCACCGGATATGACGGGATCTCGGCCTATGCATAAGGAAGGCAGTCAGTTTATTCGAGTACCATCAGAAATGTTGCTAGAACAAGCTGTGAATCGCGAGAGGTATCGAGAAGAGATGTCGAGCCTTTTTGTCTGTGAAATATCAAAGGGATAATGGAAACATTAAAGTCCTAAATTTTGAGAAGTTCAGAAACATGTTGCACGATACTGGACTACTTTATAGCTTTTGGAATGCATATGGTTGCAAATGTATCGTTGCTTGTTTAACAAAATTACAAGAAATAAACTTTCTTATTGCTTTAATGTTATATTAATTTTTATTATCGTTGCAATATATGTTTTCATGGCGTGGCCAATCGGTCGTATATCTGGAAAAAGAAAACAGACTAATATTAAAGGTGTCAAAAATATTCGAACACTCGACTATCGTTCGATTTATACATCTCGCCAGGTTACATGTAATGCGTATTTTCAATGTACATATAGGGTTATTTTCATACTTACAAAAAGGAGTAAACCATCAAACTCATTCTTTTCAATAAGGTTATCCTCTATAAACGAAAAAGGCATATTCGTAAAATTGTTCACAGACCCCAAACGGGCTCATTTCGGGCTGATAAGCTTTGTGCCTTTTACAAAGTCAGATTTTTATGTTTCTATGTTAAATTCTTGCCCTTATTGGTGTTCAATTTGATTAAATCTAAAACACAACTCACTATTATGGTCTGCGGCGGTGAACAATTCTTGTATGTCGTTATGACACACGGCCCCACTGTTGTCCATGTCAAAGTGCTGGAATACGTGTACTGATGCTTGATGGGTGTCGTGGTAATTATGCTGCCATTGGTGAACAAACTCATGACTCACGGCACATCCGCTTCCTAGAAATATGTCAGGGCTATATATGTTTTTCAAATCATCATTTTTAGTTTATTTTGTGATATACTTCTTTGATGGATCTTTTACAATGTTGTATTAAATCCAGGTAACCTTTAAGGCCCTTGAGCCTCATCACATTTTTTGCCGAGAAAAAAATTATACAGTAAAACCTGTCTAATCCGACTGGGAAACAAATTTTGTGTCGGAATATATAGGATGTCGATTTGCACAATGTTAAACACGTGAAAAATAGTAAAATGGGAAAGAAAATTTACGTTGGACTTCAGTGTGACAGATAGTGCTGGTGTCGGATTAAACAGTTTTCACTGTATGTGGTGCATTTTGCAGTTATAAAGCTATTGAATAAGTAAACCTTGCAATAGGATGCTTACCCTAAAACCTGGAATTGTGAAATTTTAATTAAATCTAGAACCTGGAATTGTGACATCTTAGATAAATCTAAAAATGTATAAAACACTAACCGTCATGGTCAAAGGTTGTGACAAATTCCCGCTCTAATTCAGCCAGAGACAAATGACCATCAAGGTCAAGGTCTCCAAGTGCCCAAAGTTTGTCCGTTAACTCCCAGATGGTCAGCTGACCTCCATGGGGATTCCCCCCGTGAGGACTATTGCTACATTAAAATTACGTCACAAAAACATTTAGACAGATGTAAAGTAATGCAAATTATTCTACTTAAAACATTAATTTTATTAATTCCATAGATATTACTTTACAGTTAGTATATATAGTTTTTAGATTTCTTGTCCAATACAGTACATACCAAATAATTCCCGAGAAGCAAATTGCCAAGAGAATTAAGCCTTTCATACTCTTTATCTCGTTTGTAATGATTATTTAGATCACGACGATATATAAGTACAAATACTTATCTTCAATCCACGTCTGGAAATACATGTACTATGAAAGACCACCAAGTTGAGCATGAAAGCATGCTAACATTAAAGGAGATGCCAGATTTGAAACATGTTACATCATGCGATTTTTATTTTGAAATTAGATCAGTAATCGTTTTTGATAAATTACTAGTATATAAAAGTAGTGTATCTAAAAATTAACAAGCAAATTCAACGAATTGTGGTCCTCCGCTTTCGGTGTCCTTGTGGGTGAGATGCCATTTTTTAAATGACATATTGTGTCAAATATGAACGCCCAATCATATGTCATTTAGAAATTATCACTGAAGTTGTTTTTTTTTTTTTTTTTTTTTTTTTAATAAATAATGTCAATCGTGAAGGTCAAGGGGTCAGAAATCACAGAATGCTCGTAAATATGTTGTCACAGGTAATGTACACGTCAAATTTGAAAGCCACTTCTCTTCTCAATATAAGGAAGATGTGTTTGTGAAACACTGATGACCCTGTATGGCAACAAAGCGAAGATAAATTTTTCTTAAATGCAAATTAAATATATTATTTCCCAAGTTAGGGTCTTCTCACAAAAAATACAATTGTGAAATACTAAATCCCTAACACCACCTGTTCAAAAGTGTAGCCAAGGATTAATTTTGAAAGATAGGTCAAACTCCAAGGTCAAAGGGTCAAAGTTGTTGGTTTCTTAAGAAAGGTCTTGTCACAAGTATTATATATGGGAATGATTAAAACCCTAACCATTTAAAAGTTATGGTCAAAATTTGTTTTTTAAAAGGAGATTAAACTCCAAGGTCAAAGGGTCAAAGTTCTTAGCCCTAACCCTTCAAAGTTAGGATCAAGGTTTGTTTTTTAAAAGTAGGTGAAACCCAAGGTCAAGGTCAGAGCGTCAAAGTTCTTAGTATCCAATGAAAGGTCTTCTCACAATGATTTTACATGTTTACTATGTAAGCCCTAGCCCTTACCATTCCAAAGTTAGCGCTAAGGTCAAACGTTTTTCATAAGTACGGAAATCGCGAAAGTTAAGGTCAAAAGGTCAAAGTTGTTGGTATCCAATGAAAGGTCTTGCCACAAAGAATACATAGGTAAAATATGAAAGTCCTAGTATGAGCCGTTCAAAGGTTGTGGCCAAGAAAGTTTTTCAAAAGTAGGTCAAACTTCAAGGTCAAAAGGTCAAAGTTCTTGATATTCAATAAAAGGTCCTGCCACAAGGATTAAATATATGAAGCATGAAAGCCCTATCCCTTACCATTTAAAAATGATGGTCATGGTTTGTTTTTCAAAAGTCGGTAAAACTCCAAGGTCAAGGTCAAATGGTCAAAGTTCTTGGTATCCAATAAAAGGTCTTCTTTCAATGATTACATATGTGAAGTATGAAAACCCTAGCCCTTACTATTCAAAAATTAGGGCCAAGGTTAAAGGTTTTTAATAAGTAAAAACATCTCAAAGGTCAAGATAAAAAGGTTACAGTTGTTGGTATCCAATGAAAGGTCTTGCCACAAAAAATATATATGTGAAATATGGAAGTCCTAGTTTATACCAATCAAAAGTTATGGCCAAATTAAAAGTTTGGATTTTTTTAATGTAAAAGTGGGTCAAACTCTACGGTCAAAGGTCAATTTGGTGGTATCAAAAAGGTCTTGTCACAAGGAATACACATGTGAAATATTAAATTCATAGCTCCATTTAATCAAAAGTTATGGGGAAGGTTAAAGTTTTTGTGACGGACAGACAGACGGACCGACAGGCGAATAAAATTTAATGTCCCCTCGCTTTCGCGAAAGCGGGGGAAATAAAAACCGTTTTTGGTAAGACATACCATATAGGGGGACTCTTTAAAGGGGTGCTTGTTATGGTACATGCGGTGTTGCAACCGACAGTGAAATACCAAACCTATTGAAATACATGTAGCTACTTTAGGTATATCAATAGTAGTTAGGAAAGTACCCGGTATTTAAAAAACAACACTTTATTGCAAATACTATTTAAATAATAATAATAACTAAGTTGAAATTGAAATTGTTGGAAAATTAGGTAGAAGTGTGGTTATAGTTGCATTTCAATTATGTTTACAGACTGAGGGGGAGAAAAACGAAATATTCCCGTTTCAAACAGTGTAAAACATTTCTGGGATATACCATTTAGATTGATTGATTGTGTGTTGTTTTACGTCCCAATCGAGAATATTTAACTCGTACAGAGACTTCACCATAATTACTTGGAACTCAGGGCAGTGAGTAGTCCGAGATCTTTAACGCGCAAACACCTGCCGTGACACGAGGCCTCGGTTTTTTAATGTCTGCGATTAATGAAGTCTGATTTTTTTAAATAAGGAAATCTCGGCACGTTTATAAAAAATAATTAGTATGAGTTGACAGCAGAACTGAGAAAACAAGATGTGTTTGTAAAAAACTGATGGCCCGTATGGCAACATAGCAAAGATTTTAAGCTTTTCTTAAATGCAAATTTAATTAATTGGTACCAAAAGTAGGGTATTCTCACTGGGAAACAATTGTGAAATTTGAAAGTAAGCTAATGTTAAAGGTTTTTAATAAGTACAAAAATCTCCAAGGTCAAGGTCAAAAGGTTACAGTTGTTGGTATCCAATGAAAGGTCTTGCCACATAAAATACTTATGTATAGCATGAAAGTCCTAGCTTTAACCATTCAGAAGTTATGGTTAAAGTTCAATTTCATAAAAAGTAAATCAAACTCCAAGGTCAAGGTCAAAGGGTCAAAGTTATTGTTATCAAATGAAAGGTCTTGTCATAAGTATCAAATATGTAAAGTATGAAAGCACTAGCCCGAAGTCTTTAAAAGTTATGGTCAATGTTTGCTTTTTTAAAGTAGGTCAGTCTCAAAGGTCAAGGTCAAAGAGTCAAGGATCTTCATATCCAATGAAGGGTCTTCTCACAATGATTACATATATGAAGTATGAAAGCCCTATCCCTTACCGTTCAAAGCTTAATCTTTGTTATGTTCTTATTCGTGACACTCAAACGAACATAAATAATTTATAAAATAAACACAAACACGCATATTAGGATGTGAAGCGCTCTGATAGTGCAGTTTACTTATAATACAAAATTGTTACAAATACATATCAATCTTCTTTAATTGTCTTCCTTTCCTTCCTACAAGATAAAACAAGATTTTTAAATATAAAATCTTCTTAAAACATATAAAGCAAGGGCGGGTGGGTGGGGATTCAGTTATCTGCACTAAAAAGAGCCTTCGAATGGCTTTAGAATATTCTGTGCTAACAGCGGTCAGTTAAAACCCGTGCAATGAATATTAAAATGTCACCTGACAAGGTGACCAGCATTACAGCCAATAGATTACAGATATAAATAAACACGAACACGTGTTATTAGCAACATTGATAA